GTGTAAAGGACATATGAAGGTCATTAATGTTTTTTTAAATGGAATCATATATTTTTTATTGGATCAGCTGATACTCCTTCATATTCGTTACAAAAGAGTATTAATCTATTTATGTGAAAAAATCGTTAGTTTAGGAGATATTTTAATTCTAACTTGTTAGGAAATCGTAACTTTCTGGTCAATATTATGAATTGCCCTAACTGAAAAGTAAATGTTTTTGTATACGCTGTGAGAGGTCACGCATCACCAAACGAATTGTGAGTTTTTTTTTTTTGTTACGCAGTAACAGTGAAATTTAGTCTCTGTTACATCACTAACATGGTGAATACGACGATACGGTGAATTATCACTTCATAATGAAATATTCTAAAGACAAAAAGATAGATATGTTATTAGTTTATTTTGAAGCTGGGAAAAGTGCTACACGTGCAGAAAGATTATACACTATGGAGTGTTAGTAAGTCATTAATTTCTCGATTCAGAAAGTGTTCTGATGCAAATAGTCGCCACATTGAACCTTTTCTGTAAATAGACATTAAAATTAAAATATCTCCTAAATTAATGATTTTTTCAGATAAATAAATTAATGCTTTTTTCTAAAGAATATGAAGGAGTATCAGCTGATGCAATAAAAAATATACGATTTCGCTTAAAAAACATTAATTCATATGTCCTTTACACGTCTACCTACAAAAAAAATACGACTAGCATATGCCCCTCTTAAAGCCATTCAACTTCTGAGTAATAATAATGACGCAAATCTAGATGGCAAAATGTGGTGAGCCACCAAGTATAGAGGAATTAGTTATATATATAAAATCTTACGTTGTGAACATACTTGTTATTGAATTGTTTATTAATTTGTCCATTTCTAGTTGTAATTAGTAAAATAATCATAAAACTTTCTCTAAATGCATCGTTTATTGACTATAACTTCCTTTAGAATATCATGTCCTAGCCCACACGACTTCATGAGATGATTAGCTTATGTTAAAATCTAATGTTAATGTATATAAAGCTCATATTTATTCAGTAATGTTTTATTTATACTAATATAATTAATTACCAGAGTTAGAAATATTTTGTATAATATTTAACAGGAAAGGCCATAGGAAATGCAAAAAATGTGTTTTACTTACATTAACTTATAAGTAGTATAAAACTGTGTTTAACATATTCAGCGTAATACTGCTTCCGATACTTCGGATATAGCTATAGTCATTTAAAATTAAATAATAGATATTTCCACATTTTTTTCCAAATAATCTTGTCCCAGATTGTTTTTCATCAGGATATACAAACTGAAATTTTGTTTGAATTTGCAGAAGTAAGATTGATCAGTGTAATTTTCCAAGGCGAAAAAATTAAATTTAGACGAGTTAGGTGGATCGTACATTATTATCACAATCTACGGCAAGGAAAAAAAATTCTTTCTTGTCATCATTCATCTCTTATAGTTCCGTTATGATACGAGATACTATTTCCTACTTTGGAGTTGTTGATTTAGTAAGTACGAAAGGAAAATGTGAGTCGAGAAAGTATTTAAATCTTGAAAATATGTTGGAAAAGCTGAATATCTTCTAGAACAAGACTGAATTTTTTCAATATGACACCCTTTGCATATTAACATATGTTACTTGCATAAACATCCGCAATCTAATTATTATAGATACTGCTGATATATTTACATACTTAAAAATATTTGCAAAAAGACATACTAACCATTTATTTCCTGGAAGGCGAACCTGTAGATTATGACCCAAAAATTGTATAGAAAGGCAAGGGAAACCACCATCGACCAGTAGTAACAAAGACGTCCTGCAGGATCGAAGATGAAGGACCAATTAGGAGCACCTGTACGAAAACCTTTTGTTCCAGGTTGTCCAGGATACCCTCTGCTACCACGTTGTTGTTGTTGCTGCTGTACCGTGTATCTCCTAGAAAATAACAACAGTACATTAAATTATACAAGTTACAATCCTGTCCAATATTTTTCAGTTTTTGTAATCTCTGTAAATTTTCTGTTTCAGTTCGATTTGTTTATAATAAATGTAAAGAGCTATTGTATACATTCGGGTGGCCCTTATTTTTCGACTTCCGATTTATTTTGGTCTCACCCCCTAAAATTGTGACACTTGATGAAAAAATGATAATGTCAAAGTTTCAGCATGATTGGATAACAGAAACCCGTGCCGCAATCGAGTTGAAGTTTTGAAATTTGCACGATTTCAGGTTATCGTCGAATATGTTAGTGGCCTTTTATTTTACAAGTATCAGCGAATATTTTATAATGAAAATATCATTTTTTATATATATAATTTTAGTGTTGGTGTATGATTTTCAAAAATATATTAAAAATTACTGAATGTTACCGCTAATGTTAGTATGAATCTCATTCTGTAGTTGCTGAAGCGGTCATCTCGAATACGAAAACTAATCTCCTATTCAGTTAGCCATTAAAGATCTTATGTAAAATGAAACAAATATTTCGGTATTAAAAGAATGTATAGTAGGTGCTCTGCATGGTAGGTATACAAAAAGATTCCCGGCAGTGGTGAATATTACCGAGTTTTACCTGATCAAGGGATCAGGTAAGAAGTACCGCTTTTTCAAAAATTTCAAAAAGCTTGGCCTAAGATTAATTTATCAAATTTTAAAACAGGTATACAAGATTCTTATATTTATGGAAAGCTCCAGGAAGTAGAAGAAACAATATATTTTTGCTTGTACCATTTACGACAAACGTAGCCGAAAGATAATTACAAAGAACTTTTGGAGTTGATGATAATTTGCTTGGTGGATCTCTTCCACGATGGAAATACTTTTCATGTTCCTGGAGCGTTTCATAATGCTAGGTGGATGGCTAAAGCAATTTACGTGCTAAAAATTTATTTATTCCGACAAGAATTGTTATTGGATAGTAACGAAATCATAGGGATAAGTGATATATGTATTCTTTTGGCTAATTTATACTTGCTAGAATAGGAATACGCAAATTTTCTAACCATTTATGGTACCTTGAATCTGAAAACGTGGCATTATCCTTTTTCAATGAAATAATACCATTGAACACAAAAAGGAAAATGATTAAGGCTCTAAAAAATGATAATAAGGAACATTCAGCAAAGAAACTTGTAATACTTCCGGAAAACGTACAAAATTATGTAAATATGAATATTGATAGCTTCATTTCTACTGAATCCAAAAAATGACTTAACAGGTACAATATACCTACAGATTTCTTAGAAAAAGACCCTTCCTTATGGAAAAATGATATTTCATATCAAAAAGGTTTGGAAATTGCAAGAAATTTGAAAGTGGTAAACGATACCGCTGAACGTGGTGTTAAACTTATATCTGAATATAATAATCTGCTGACCAAAAATGAAGAAGAAAAACAATACATATTACAAGTAATTGAGAATTAGAAAAGCTTTTATCCTAATGTAAGCAAATCTACATTAACACAGAATATATATTAAACGCTACGTACAATTTAATAATAGGCTAATTTATGAGACATAACTGAAATTTCATTAAAGAATATTTTGCTTATAAGTATTTAAAAAAAATTCGTTTATAAGTGCGAATACAATCGAAATTATTGAAAAATTTATCAACTTTGGTACAAATTATATACTGCTCCCAGTTGCTCAACCGCCACATTCTCCGGTAACTTAAAAGCTACGTTACATTTGTGTGTAAATGTATTGTATGTAAATATGTAAATAAGTATGTGTTGTAATTGTATGTAAACGCTAGTATTACACGTGTAAAAAATTATATTTTCGTTATAAAATATTTGCTGATACTTGTAAAATAAAAGGCCACTAACATATTCGATGATAACCTGAAATCGTGCAAATTTCAAAACTTCAACTCGATTGCGGCACGGGTTCCTGTTATCCAGTCATGCTGAAACTTTGACATTATCATTT